TCTCGCTCTGTCGCCCAGGCTGGAGTGCAGTGGCGCGATCCCGGCTCACTGCAAGCTCCGCCTCCCGGGTTCACGCCATTCTCCTGCCTCAGCCTTCCCAGTAGCTGGGACTACAGGCGCCCGCCACCTTGCCCGGCTAATTTTTTGTATTTTTAGTAGAGACCGGGTTTCACCGTGTTAGCCAGGATGGTCTCATCTCCTGACCTCATGATCCGCCCGCCTCGGCCTCCCAAAGTGCTGGGATTACAAGCATGGGCCACCACACCTGGCCTGTAGTAGGTATTATAATGAGTAATCTAGAGATTATTTAAACTATATGCAAGGATACAAGTAGGTTATATACAGTCATGTGCTACTTAACCATGGTGACATGGTTTGGATTTGTGTCTTCACCCAAAATCTCATGTAAAATTGTAATCCCCAGTGTTGGAGGGGTCTGGTGAGAGGGGACTGGATCATGGGGACAGAGTTGCCCCTTGCTGTTCTTGTGGTAGTGAGCAAGTTCTCACGAGATCTGGTTGTTCAAAAGTGTGTAGCACCTCCCCCCGCTCTCTATTCCTCCTTCTCAGGTCACATAAGATACGCCTGCTTTCCCTTCACCTTCCGCCATGGTTTTAAGTTTCCTGAGGCCTCCCCAGCCGGGCTTCTTGTACAGTCTAAGGAACTGTAAGTTAATTAAACCTCTTTTCTTCATAAATTACCCAGTCTCAGATAGTTCTTTATAGCAAGGCAAGAATGGACTAATACACATGTTGATAGGAATGTGAATATGACCTTAGGTGATTTTGATGCTGTGTGAACATCACAGAGTATACTCACACAAACCTTGACGTTATAGCCTATAACACACCTAGGCTGTATGGTATGGCTCACTGTTTCTAGACTAGAAGCCCGTATAGCACATAACTACACTGGATACTATAGACTAACTATAATACAATGGTAAGTATGTGTATATGTAGGCAACTATAATACAATGGTATGTGTATATCTAAACATATCTAAATACAGAAACATATAATACAGTACAGTAAAAATAAGGTATAATCTTATGGGACCACTATTCTATATTTGGTCCCTTGCTGACTAAAATATAGTTTTGCACTGCAAGACTGTCCTACACTATTTTATATAAGGAATTTCAGCATCCTCAGGGTATTGAAACCAATCCCCCTTGGATACCGAGGGATGACTAGGAAGCATCTAGAATTAGTTATTACAAGAGTTTGCAGGTTGAACTGCTGGTTCAAGGTGCACTGCCTCCGAACAAGTGCTCATTAGCTCTTCCATTTATTCCTGAAAATCCACTAAGGGAATACATCAATATAAATTGCTCCTGGCTAACACTTCTTAAAGACTTCTGATGACTCAAAGGTGGGTGGGTTGGCCAGTACCTCGAATACCAATACGTAAATATCCTCAATAAACTGTGCCTGTTAATTTTTAAATAAGTTTTAAGTAACAATAGATAACAGAGGTCCTTCATATATGCCAGGCATTGTGCTAAATGCTTTGTAATGTTCATCTCAGCTAATCTCCCCAAAAGTCTTAGAGTGAGCTCTCTCTAGCGCTTTTTTTTTTTTTTTTTTAGATGGAGTTTCGCTCTGTTGCCCAGGCTGGAGTGCAGTGGCGTGAATTCAGCTCATTGCAAGTTCCACCTTCCGGGTTCACCCCATTCTTCTGCCTCAGCCGCCCGAGTAGCTGGGACTACAGGCGCACGCCAACACCCTGCTGATTTTTTTTTTGTATTTTTAGCGAGACAGGGTTTCACCATGTTAGCCAGGATGGTCTCGATATCCTAACCTCGTGATTCGCCCGCCTCAGCCTCCCAAAGTGCTGGGATTACAAGCATGAGCCACCGCGCCTGGCCTCTAGCACTATTTTACACATGAAAAATTGAATCCGAGTTCATCCAGGGCCACATAGCTGCTAAGTGGCGGGGCTGAAGCAGAATCCAGGCAGTTCAGCATGACGGCCACGTCCTAACCCCTTTTGACTGCCTGTTTTATACCCGGACAGGGAGACCTCAGCTAACTTTTAAGACAACCTTCTTTTTTTTTTTTTTTTTCAGATGGAGTTTTGCTCTGTTGCCCAGGCTGGAGTGCAGTGGTGCAATCTCGGCTTACTACAACCTCCACCTCCCAGGTTCAAGCGATTCTCCTGCCTCAGTCTCCCGAGTAGCTAGGGCTACAGGCATGTGCCATCATGCCCGGCTAATTTTTGTGTTTTTAGTAGAGACAGGGTTTCACTATGTTGGCCAGGCTGGTCTCGAACTCTTGACCTTGTGATCCGCCCGCCTTGGCCTCCCAAAGTGCTGGGATTACAGGCATAAGCCACCATGTCCGGCCCAACAACCTTCTTATGTAAAATAAGAGGCAGATAGTTTACAGGGTAGTTTACACTTTTATCACAAAAAATAAAGAATATATTTAAGTCACCAAAGTTGGAAAAGATTAGATAATATATACTTACACAGTATACTAAAGCAAACTTCTATGGCAGATAGGCTCTTACTGAGCATGCCTATTTGCTAAGCCCTCTATTTACATGGATCAATTTAATTAATTTTCATATCTGCCTCTTGAGGTAGTTCTTCTCCCTAGTTTTTATTTAAAAGTGGAGGGCACTGAAAATCACTTAAGTTCACTGAGGCTCAGAGGGCTAAAGAAACGTGCAAGATCAGACAGCTAGTAAATGACAGAGCCAATATTTAGAGCCATCCTCCACTGACACCAGCTTCTACAACTCTTTATACAAACTACCTCATGTTGCTCCACTCTAGCTAAGACAAAACTGCACACTCTTGTTTTTATGTTCCTTTAACAAATATGAATTTCCACATAATCAGACTCAACTATGAAAACAACTGGTTAAATGGTTAGAACATCTGATCACATGTGATCAGGTGAACAGACTGTCATATAAGCTACATCAATTTTTGCTAAAACCAGGGGACCAAGTGACTAGTCAAAAGTAAATCGACCGATGTGCCAAAGCTTCACTAGGCAGGCCTTCAGGCTTTCCATACAGGTTTCTGCAGAGAAAGCAGCAGCATCCAGAACCTTGGGATTTTGAATTCAACTTACACAGTTAGTAACTAGGATCATGAAAGCTTCATTTCGCATACCATTTGAGATTATGGAAAATTCTAATGTTTCTTTAATATAAGATTACTGTCTTTAGCCATCTTTTAAACAAATATAAAAATCTGAAGTGAGTTAGTTTATGAATTTTTCTATAGCTCCCCCAAATTTATATATAGCTCCTTGACTCGGAAATTCAAAAATAGGTTTTCTCTGTATGGTCCAAATTAAAATCTATTTTACGACAATATCTAATGAAACATTAGACCTTCATCCTTGTTAATGAAGTTTTTCTCACTTAATAGTTTCATAAAGTAAAATTAGTATCAACTAAATTCTGCATTAAAAATGTAGAGAATACCCATGTTCTGGCATGCAATTTAATCACTAAAAAGGGAACTACAATTTTATTGCAATATTCCTTCTTTGCATCTCATCTTCCAAACTGAATTTCTCTGAAAAAATAAGCTAGATGGAAATATAAAATGTTTTAAAGATTTCCAGGCACTGGGCATGGTGGCTCATGCCTGTAGTTCTAGCATTTGAAGAGACCAAGGAAGGAAAATCACTTAAGTCCAGGAGTTTGAGACCAACTGGGCAACATAGCAAGACACCCAACTCTATAAAAAAAAAAAATTAAAAAGTTAGCTGGTGTGGTAGTACATGCCTACAGTCACAGCTACCTGGGAGGCAGAGGCAGGAGGATCATTTGAGCCCACCAGTTTGAGGCTGCAGTGAGCCACGATCTCACAACTACCTCCAGCCTGGGTGACAGAGTGACTCTATCTCTAAAAAAAATAATAATTAAAAAAAGATGCACAGGATAAAAGTTACAATACATGCCCATATTGTAAAAATATTTTAATAGTTCAAAATAAATATGAAAGTATGGTAAGTTGATTCCTTTCCCCAACTCACCTTGCTGTCAAGGTTCTTCATGGTTAAAAGATCAAGTGTCTTCAGAGAGTGGCCTGTCGGTGAAATGAAGTAGAGGCACACATGGATGCGAGAATCATGGTAGCTAAAGAGAGAACGCTTAATCTTCAGCTCTTCTTGGAGATAGGCCTCAAACTGAGCATCTATGTAGTCAACTATTGGTTGGTAGCTGAAAAATTATTTAAATGTTTAATACAACATTATTTGTGCTACCTTAAGATATCTGTGCAACTCTTAGAAGTTTGAGGTCTATATTTTCATTGATTAATAAACAGTTAATATCTATGCTGAACAGATAACTGTAGTGATAAAAAAAAAATGTGCAGAACATGCACAAAAGCTATACAAATGCTTCTCAACTTACAACGATGTTACATCATGATAAATCCATCACATAAGCTGAAAATATTAGCTGAAATGCATTTAATATCCGAATAAACCTATCATAAAGTTGAGAAATCATTAAGTCAAACTCTCCTAAATTCAGTATCATTTGTACTTCCAAAACCGTTAGGGCAATCTGTGCTTGAAACGGTATTGAATTTACATTGATTCATTCTCACAGTCATTCACACACTGGGTCCCTTTCTGACATAGCTTCCCACACTTACCAGACTGCTGAAAGAGGCTGGCAGCAGTCTAATCTGTAATCAAACTGGTACATGGCTTATTATTTAACTAATTGAGAAAATGCATAGGTATCAATACTCAAAAGATATTTAAGTCAAAGTCCATGACTCCTTGCCTCTTAGATTTATAAGGCATGAAAAGCATAAGTAAAGAAGAAAGGCATACATCAGCTGAAAGTATCTAACTAGCAATGCTGGCATGTTTTTATTTTCATTTGATTATAAATAAAGGAAAGGCCAATTATATCCTCTGCTCAGATAACTCCTCCCTGGAAATGCAGTCTTCCTTCTGGCTGTCTCATGTTATTCAGCCTTCAAGATGCAAATCAATCACAGTGCATGTGCAGAGCAGTGTGCTAATGCTGTTCCAAGAACAGTCTGTGAGCATTCCAAGTTCTGATATGTTAAACCACTGCCTTTGCAACTTACTTTTCTACTCTTAACTATTCTCATTAAACAAATCTGGGTTTCCAAGTGAAAATAACAGCAAACAGTTCCCATGTCAAATTCCCTGGAAACCTTTGTAATATCCTTCTAGTCCTATAATGAACCAGTACCTTGAGCAGCTGAGGTACTTAATAAATGTGTACAGAATTAAATTCTTCTATAAAGTTGCCTGACCTTCTAGTCCTTGAGGATCATCACTTCTTTAAAAATTATAGAATACACATTGTTCTCCCTATGCAAATGGTAAACAATGTGAGGACTGAGACAGTATCTTATACATCTGTGTTTTCCACTACAACTAGCATAGGCTAGGCTCAGTGGCTCACATCTGTAATCCCAATGGTTTGGGAGATCAAGGCAGGAGGATCACTTGAGGCCAGGAGTTCAAGAACAGCCTGGGCAACAACACAGCAAGACCCCCTAAAAAATTTTAAAAATCAGCCAGGCATCGTGAGGTGCCTATAGTCCTAGCTACTTGGGAGGCTGAGATGGGAGATCCCTTAAGCCCAGAAATTCAAAGCTGCAGTGAGCTGTGATTGTGCCACTGCACACCAGCCTAGGTGACAAAGCAAGATTCTGTTTTAAATGAACTTTTTTAAAAAATTCATTTAAACACAGGGTCTTGCTGTGTTGCCCGGGCTGGTCTTGAACTCCTAGCCTGAAGCAATCAACCTGCCTTGGCCTCCTAAAGCACTGGGATGACAGGCATGAGCCACCACATCCAGCCTCAAAAAATGATATTTTTTTAACAAGTAAATAAATTAAATAAATAGCATAAAACCTTGAACATTACAAGAATTCAATTCATCATCAGAGTGATTATTATAACAACAGTAAGTGATCCTTCAGAAAGTGGTCTAAATGTGACCCAATAGAATTCACTTCCCAAAACAATAAAATGGGAAAAATTAATCTGTTAAGTGTATATTTCAAATAAACATTCCAAAGAAGCTTTTATTAATGACCTGAAATAGGTCAGTAAGAGGACCTATTATATGACCTAAATAAATAACCATAAATGTACCTCTATCTGAATGTTTTGTCTTATGCTATTCAAGAATGAAAACTGTAAAGATTTTCTGCTAAATAAATAATATGCCATTCTTTCATAATCTGGACAAAAAGATAAAAAATATGAATCAGAGAGATTAAAAGACACAAGATATAATGAGAAGATCTAACACACATTTCATCAAAGTTTTCAAAGAAAAAGGGGCAGAGGCAATATTTACAGAAGAAACGTCTGAGATTTTTTAAAAAGAACTGATGGACACTATTCAGAATCAAGAACTCAAACATATCACAAGCAGCGTAAATTAGAAATAATAAAAACCCAGATACAGCATAGCAAAATTGGAGAACAATAAAAACAAAGATCTTAAAAGCACTGGAGGAAAAAAAGGAGAGAACCCTTACGGGTGACTCCTTAATAGCAAAGATGGAAGCCAGGAGAGAGTGGAATGATATTTCCAATGCAAGAAAGAAAATAACTGGCAACCCAAATTGTATATCCAACTAAAATTTCAAGTATGTGAGTAAAACAGAAATTTTTGGTTAATAAATGGTAATAAACATATACTGGTCATATAATAATACCTTGTGTAGTTAAAAAATAGAGAACTCGGCCAGGCATGGTTGCTCACTGTAATTCTAGCATGGGAGGCCAAAGTTGGAGGATTACCTGAGGTCAGGAGTTCAAGACCAGCCTGGCCAACATGGTGAAACCCTGTCACTACAAAAATACAAAACTTAGCCAAGCATGATGGCGGGTGCCTGTAATCCCAGATACTCAGGAGGCTGAGGCAGGAGAACTGCTGGAGTGCAGGAGGTAGAAGTTGCAGTGAGCCAAGATCGCTTCATTGTACTCTAGCCTGGGTGACAGAGTGAGACTCCACCTCAAAAATTAAAAAAAAAAAAAAAAAAAAAGAAAAAGAGAGAGAGAACTTGGTGAGATAGTGGCTCATGCCTGCAATCCCAGCACTTTGGGAGGCCAAGGCAAGAAGATTGCTTGAGGTCAGGAGTTTGAAATCAGCCTGGCCAACATGGCAAAATCCCATCTCCACTGAAAATACAAAAATTAGCTGGTGGGGTGGCGTGTGCCTGCAGTCCCAGCTACGCAGGAGGCTGAGGCTTAAGAATCACTTGAACCCAGGAGGGGGAGGCTACAGTAAGCCGAGATCGCACCACTGCACTTCAGCCTGGGTAATGGAGTGAGACTTTGTCTCAAAAAAATAAAATAAAATAAAAAGAGAGAGAGAGAGAGAGAGAGAGAGTTAGTATATAATAGCAATCAGGAGAAGGGATTAACAAAATTTAACTGTTCTAAATTTAATTTCATTGTCTATTTGTATTATCAAGAAGTATAAACACTCATCTTCAACCTTAAGTGAAAGATTATATGTGATAATGTGTAAGAGAATAGGACCCCTACGTTTTACCATAAACAAAAATTAACTCAAGATGGATTAAAGACTTAAATGTAAGACCTCAAACAATAAGAATCCTGGGAGAAACCCTAGAAAACACCATGCTGGACACTGGCCTTGGAAAAGAATTTACGATTAAGTCCTCAAAAGCAAAGTCAACAAAAACAAAAATTGTCGAGTGGGACCTAATTACACTAAAGAGCTTCTACATAGCAAAACAAACCATCATCAGAGTAAACACACAACCTACACAATGGGAGAAAATTTTTACAAACTATACATCCAAACTATAGTCTAGCAGCCAGAATCTGTAAGAAACTAACAATTAAACAAGGAAAAAACAACCCCATTAAAAAGTGGCCAAAAGACATGGACATACAAGCAGCAACAAACATGAAAAAATGCTCAACATAACTCATCAGAGAAATGCAAATCAAAACCACAATGACATACCATCTTACAACAGTCAGAATGGCTATTATTAAAAAGTCAAAACACAACAGATACTGGCGAGACTGCAGAGAAAAGGAAATGCTTGTACCCTGTTGGTGGGAATGTAAATTAATGCAGCCACTGCGGAAAGCAGTTTGGAGATTTCTCGAAGAACTTAAAACAGAACTACAATTCGACCCCGCTATTCCAACTTAGAATATATCCAAAAGAAAATACATCGTTCTACCAAAAAGACACATGTACTTGTATGTTCATCATAGCTCTGTTCACAATAGCAAAGACATGGAATCAACCTAGCTGCCCATTAACGTGGACTGGATAAAGCAAATGTGGTACACACATACCATGGACTCCTACACAGCCATAAAAAAGAACAAAATCAAGTCTTTTGTAGCAACATGGATGAAGCTGGAGGCCGTTATCCTAAGCAAATTAACTCAGGAACAAAAAACCAAATACCATATGTTCTCACTTATAAGTAAGTGGGATCTAAACATTGGGTTAAAGTGGGATCTAAACATTGAGTACACATGGATATAAAGATGGCAACAACAGACACTGGGGACTACTAGAGTGGGAAGGGAGAAGTGGGGTAAAGGCTGAAAAATTAACTACTGGTACTATGCTCACTACCTGGGTAACTGGATCACTTGTACCCCAAACCTCAGCATCACACAATATACCCATGTAACAAACCTGCAATTGTACCCCAAATCTAAACGAAAATTTGAAATTGTTTTTTAAAAGAAAAAAAAAATACTTATGGGCCGGGCGCGGTGGCTCAAGCCTGTAATCCCAGCACTTTGGGAGGCCGAGACGGGCGGATCACGAGGTCAGGAGATCGAGACCATCCTGGCTAACATGGTGAAACCCCGTCTCTACTAAAAAATACAAAAAACTAGCCGGGCGACGTGGCGGGCGCCTGTAGTCCCAGCTACTCGGGAGGCTGAGGCAGGAGAATGGCGTAAACCCGGGAGGCGGAGCTTGCAGTGAGCTGAGATCCGGCCACTGCACTCCAGCCTGGGCGGCAGAGCGAGACTCCGTCTCAAAAAAAAAATAAATAAATAAAAATAAATAAATAAATAAAAAATACTTATAAAAATGGAAATAAGACTGGGAGCAGTTGCTCACGCCTGTAATCCCAGCACTTCGGGAGGCCAAGGCCGGTGGATCGCCTGAGGTCAGGAGTTCGAGACCAGCCTGGTCAACGTGGTGAAACCCCCGTCTCTACTAAAAACACAAAAAAATTAGGTGTGGTGCCAGGTGCCTGTAATCCCAGCTACTTAGAAGGCTGAGGCAGGATGCTGAACTGGGGAGGTAGAAATTGCAGTGAGTTGAAATCACGCCACTGCACTCCAGACTGGGTGACAGAGCGAGACTCCTCAAAAAAAAAAAAAAAAAAAAAAAAATTGAAATTCATTTCAAAAAAGAAAATGAAACAAAAAGTTATTGCTTTAACAATCCTTTTCCCCCTTTTATAGTTTAAATTTGATACAGAATCTCTACTCAATCTTTATATGAGCTTAGGAGAAATATGAAAAGAAATAGAGACATCAGGTAAAATATAAATTAAAATTTCACTATCAAAACTTTCCTGCAATGATTAATAATTTAACTGGCTAATTTGATTAGAATTTTACAAAAAATTCACACATCAGGTATTTGGCCATTGTCTATAATTGTTCTTACATGTCTTATTTTTTTTTTCTTCAAGGAGATAAGCCCTGCCTGAAAATTAGTATAATTAATATACATTTAATTTGCATGTCAGGAAATAATTAAAGCTACTTTTGCTGAAATGCACATTTTAATAAGGTGATTCAAATTATTCTAAAGAAATTAGACAAATGGATAGAAAAATGTCAATGTGCTAATAAGAACAAAATATTGCTTAATTATTTTATTGTTAAAAATTAATGTATGGAAGGAAAGGTATGGATTACCATAGGAGAAAATCAAATCATAGTTCATAGGGCTATAAGGCAAATGTCTTGAAATAAGAAAAACTTGTTTTATTATAAGAAGAAAACACGTACCTCTCTTCTTTATTTATTTGGTCACCAAATCCCACTGTATTCACAATGGTCAATTTCAATCGAACATTACTTTCCTGGAGTTCATATGTCTGAGCTTTAAGTTTAACATTTGGGCAAAAATGTGAGGATTCATAGTCTTCAAAATTAGTATTAAACAATGTGTCAATCAGTGTTGATTTTCCAATTCCAGTTTCCCCTGAAACACACAAAGGTACATCTTTATGGTTGTACGAATGGCTGAAAAGAAATACAACTGTAAATGCCTAGAGTGGTTTCAAAGATCCCAAGTATTTCAAAGGCCAGGGTGCACATGAAAGAAATACACACTATGGCTGGTCCCCCAGGTCATTAGCAGAGCACAGAATAAGTGTGCTAAGCTACTCAGGACTCTGACAACAACACTGAAATGTTTATAGAACAAGCCAAAAGTTTAAAGCTAACAAAAACAAAACTAACAGAATCTAAACAACTGAAGAGAATCCCTGGGATCATGATTTCAAATTGATAACATAAGCATCGTTCTGCCCATGACAAGAATGAAGTGAGTACAAGGAATATGAATGAACAACTTAGAGGAAGATAAGGTGGCACGTACCCACACAGAGAATATTAAAGCAGAAACCTTGCTGAATGGATCTGTTCACCAGCTGATCAGGCAAACTCTCAAAACCAACATGGCCAGACATAGTCAAGGAACGAACATTTTCTCTTTTCTGAAGGAAAATAAGAACAAAAACAACAGCAATAATAACAGTAATAAAAAACTTTGACTTAAACAGGATGTAGGTGTACTTGAAAGGATAAATATATCAAATAAATGAAAAATTTTATAATCATTATACCTCATCTAAGATACAAGTGATTAAGTAAATTTTCAGGAAAAGAAACCTGTGTCCAGATCCTCAAAACACACATTTCTTATCCCTTTCATACAACGAGAGTCTAGCACTATGTGTAACATTAAAACATTCGATTTCCAAAATAGGAAAATATCCAACTATGGCATATTCACTTACAAAATAAAAAGTTAAAGTCCGTTTGTTTATAAATTTTTAACAACTTAGAAAATTCTTACATTAAAATGTCAAGTGAAAAAAAAAAATACACAACAAAAGTACAGATACAGGTTCAGTTCCCGGTAATGGCAGAGTAACTTAGGTCAAACTTATCCGCCTACTGATAACTATTACAAGCAACCTTTTTAAGTCACTAGAGTGCAACCAAAGGCAGATAGACACTGGACAGAATAAGACTAGAGGGAAGAAAACTTATCAGGTGAGATGAGTTTATCTAGCTTTTTCCCTGAAGACACTCCCTAGTCATTATGGCAAAAGGAAGATAGAGTTCAGGAGGGAAGTTATAGTCTTCATGGGTTAAGATGTCCATTGGAGATTGGGGCAGGCAGATTGGTTGGGAATTCAGGGAGAAAATTCCAGAAAGAAGGGAATCCAAAATCTACAAACACACTCCACTCAAATCCATGGCTGATGGCCAAACTGCACACATATAGAGGGAATACAAAGATCCCAGAAAGGGGAAAATGGGAATTGGGAGGAGTTATGCAGAGTTTTCAAGTGCCATCTTGAGGAGATGAACAGAGCTTAAATTTTAAGCCTGTAAGTTAAACGGTCTCCTGTAAACACCCTAGCCTTCTACTGAAACCCTAGGAGTAAGGTCCATAACTCAGCAATCAGAAAGCATAGCTGAAGCAGACGTGCCTTAACAAAGCCTTTAACAAGGCTCAACATGATCGATGTGATCAGTCAGCAATTTAATTATCTGTCAGAACAAAGTTCAACATTCTGCAGAAGAAAACAGAATCTAGCATCTCCATAGTATCTACTATACAATAAAAAATATTATGACAGGGAAAAAAACAGAAAAATGTGATTCATGGTCAAGAAAGAAAGTCAACAGGAAGAGATCCACAATGAACCAGATGTTTAATTAGCAGGTAAGAACTTCAAATAATGACAACAAATATGCTAAAGAATCTACAGAAAAAAGACGGCTATCATGGGTGGCATGACAGGGAATTACAGAAAGATATGGAAGAGCTCGCAACAGCAAAAAGCAGCAGACAATTTCTAGAATGTAAAAATGCAACATGTGAAGTAAAAAATATATTTAGTACTAACAGCAGATCAAATAATGGAAGAGACATTTGTTCAATAGTTATCCAAGCTAAAAATCTCACAGAAAGAAAAAAGATAAAACTATGCCAGTCTTAAAAACTTGCATGAGAGTATCAAATGGTCTAACACACCAGTAATTGGAATACAAGGAGAAAAGTTAGAGAAAGAGGAGAGAAGGTGAAAGTGTGGGGTAGGAGGGAGGAAAAAAAAAATCTAAGTAATAGTGACTGAAAACTTTCTAATTTTCTAAACTTGAACTCAGAACAAGAATTTTAGCAAACTACAAAGAGGAAATATCCAAAGGAACCCACATCTAGGGACATCACAGCAAACTGCTAAAAAACAAAGATAATGAAAACTTTAGGCCCGGCATGGTGGCTCATGCCTGTAATTCCATCACTTTGGGAGGCCGAGGCAGGTGGATCATGAGGTCAGGAGATTGAGACCATCCTGGCTAACATGGTGAAACCCTGTCTCTACTAAAAATACAAAAAATTAGCCAGGTGTGGTGGCGCACACCTGTAGTCCCAGCTACTCGGGAGGCTGAGGCAGGAGAATGGCTTGAACCCGGGAGGCGGAGGTTGCAGTGAGCTGAGATTGCACCACTGCACTCCAGCCTGGGTGACAGAGCAAGACTCCATCTCAAAAAACAAGAACAACAACAACAACAACAACAACACAAAAATTACCCGGGCGTGGTGGTGCCTATAATCCCAGCTACTCGGGAGGCTGAGGTGGGAGGATCACTTAAACTCGGGAGGCAGACATTGCAGTAAGCTACAGATGTTGCTTAAGAAACAATGCAAACCAGAAGACAAAACAATGACCCCTATAAAATGCCAGAAAAAAAAAAAAAAGACAATGTAGAATTCTATAGCCAACGAAAACATCCTTCAAAAATGAAGGCAAAATGAAGACAACTTCAGATAAATAAAATCTGAGAAAATCCACTGACAGTTGGCCCACGGTATAAGAAATGATAAAAGTTCTTCAAGAGAAAGGAAAATGACAACAGATCTACAAAAAGGAATGAAGGTCATCAGAAAGGTAAATATGTGGGTAAATGTAAGAGAGGTTTTTTTAACTTCTTGAAAATAGAAATGTTTAAAGCAATAACAAAAACAATGTGTTACAGGTTACATGCACAAGTAAAATGTATAAGAAACACAAAATACAGGAGGAGGATTGAAGGAATATTGTTATAAGGTTTCTACAGTATACATAAAGTGTTATATATATAAATTTTTTTTTTGAGATGGAGTTTTGTTCTTTTGCCCAGGCTGGAGTGAAGTGGTGTCATCTTGGCTCACTGCAACCTCCGACCACCAGGTTCAAGGGATTCTCCTGCCTCAGCCTCCCGAGTAGCTGGAATAACAGGCGCCCACCACCATGCCTGGGTAATCTTTGTATTTTTAGTAGAAATGGGGTTTCACCATGTTGGCTAGGCTGGTTTAAAACTCCTGACCTCAGGTGATCCATTCACTTCAGCTTCTCAAAGTGCTAGGATTACAGGCGTTGAACCACCGTGCTGGGCTAAAATTTTATATTGTCTGAAGGTTGGGTGTGGTAAGTTAGAGCCTAGGTCAATTACTATCAAAAAAAAAAAAAAAAGCCAAAGAGGTATAGCTAATAAGCCAAAAGCAGAAATGAAATGGAGTCATAAAAATTCTCTATTAATCCAAAAGAAGGTAGGAAAGAAGAAAACGAAAGGACAAGGGCACATATAGAAAACTAGTTATCAAGAAAATGTACAATGTCCACCTCCCGAGTTTAAGTGATCCTCCCACCTCAGCCTCCCGAGTAGTTGGGATTATAGGTGCCACCACGCCAGGGTAATTTTTGTGGTTTTTTTTGTTTGTTTTTGTTGTTGTTTGTTTTGTGTTTTGTTTTTTGTTTTTGAGATGGAGTCTTGCTCTGTCACCCAGGCTAGAGTGCAGTGGTGTGATCTCGGCTCACTGCAACCTCCACCTCCCAGGTTCAAGCAGTCAGGTCAGGCGCCGTGGCTCACGCCTATAATCTCAGCACTTTGGGAGGCCAAGGCAGACAGGTTACTTGAGGTCAGGAGTTTGAGACCAACCGGACCAGCATGGCAAAACCCCATTTCTACTAAAAATACAAAAATTAGCTGGGCATGGTGGTGCATGCCTGTAGTCCAGCTACATAGGAGGCTACAGCATGAGAACCGCTTGAACCTGAGGCGGAGGCTGCAGTGAGCCAAGATCCTGCCATTGAGCTCCAGCCTGTGCAACAGAGCAAGACTCTGTCTCAAAAAAATTCATAAAAATAAAAATAAATAAAAAGTAAAACTGAATATCCAACAAAATAGCTAAAATAAAAAGGCTGAACATGTCAAGTGATAGAGATAATGAAGAACTGGAATGCTGGTAAATTTGCTAGTCTGAATGCAAAATGGTACAGTTGCTTTGGAAACTAGCTTGGCAGTTTCTTATGAAGTTAAAAACATGCTATTATATAGCCAAAAAAAAAAACCCGCTTGGAGGTATCCAAAATAATGAAAATATATGTCCACACAAGAACTTATGCATCAATGTTCACAGCAGTTTTATTCCCAATGGTCAAAAACTGGAAACATCCCAAATATCAAACAAGTGGTGAATAGATAAACAAATTGTAGTATACTAAACTACTAATATATGTCACAACATGGATGACGAGCTAGGTATCCCGACAGTGATTTATTTACTGAGGTTTGAGTTTTTAAAAATACGCATTATGTGCATTTTTCACATAATCATATATTCATATACACACACACACACACACACAGATGTAAATGTCTCAAAGGGTGATGACAGACTATTGAGAGTGGTTACCAGTCAGCAGTAGACTAACAGACTGCGGTGAGAAGAAATCGCTGTTTATTGTATATAGTGGGCAGAATTCTAAGATGGTCGCTAACACTGATGCCCCTGGTGCACACAAACTTTCTCCCAGTTATTAAATCAAATACTAATCTAGGTGTCACTGAGAAGAGATTTTACAGAGTGATTAAGTTCCCAAACCAGTCAGTCAGCCTTCGAAAGGGAGATTATCCTGGGTGGGGGCCAGACCTAATGAGGTAAATCATTTTTTGTTTTTGTTTTTTTTTTCTTTTGAGACAGAGTTTTTGCTCTGTTGCTCAGGCTGGAGTACAATGATGTGGTCTCAGCTCACTGCAACCTCCGCCTCCTGGGTTCAAACAATTCTCCTGCCTCAGCCTCTCAAGCAGCTGGGATTATAGGTCCTTGCCACCATGCCCACCTAATTTTCGTATTTTTAGTAGAGACAAGGTTTCACCATGTTGGTCAGGCAGGTCTCGAACTCTTGACCTCAGGTGATCCACTCACCTGGGCCTCCCAAAGTGTTAGGATTACATGTGTGAGCCACTGTGCCCGGCCATGAGGTAAATCCTTAACAGGGCCTGGACACTTCCTGGCCAAAGACTTGAAGCATGAAGGGAACTCCACCTGCCAGTTCTCCCTTGCTGGCTTTCAGAATGGAATGGTCTCTAGGAGCTGACAACAACCCCCAGCCAGTAGGGAACTGAATTCTGCCAACAACCGGAAAGAGTATGGAAGGAAAGCCTCCAGATAAGAACTCAGCAGCTGACCTCGTGAGCATGAAACCCAGAGCAGAGAAGGCAGATGGGTCACATCTGGCCTTTGACCTACAGAACTGTGAGCTAACAAACAGATGCTGTTTTAAGCAGCTAAATTTGTGACGATTTGTTATGCAGCCACAGAAAACTAGTATACTATATTCTCTTTTGTGCCGTTTGAATCATTTTTAGTCATGTAAGCATGTTATCCTCATATATTTTTAAAGAGCACTGAAGAAGCACTAGGCTTCTTCCTCGTGAAAGTGTTCAAGATGGTAAGAACTTCATAACTTGTTAAAGTTGCTATCTGATAGGCATATGCTTATTACATACAAGTTGAACTAAATGGCCTCTAGGATTCCTTCTAGTTCTACAATGACAGGATTTTAATGCCACCAGAAAAAAGAAGTATTTCAAAAATGAGGGTGTGGTCCCCACGATGTAACACAGAAGAGGGGCCAGGGAAAAAGAAATTAAGCTAACAGTCACCGGATGGACTAGTCACTAAAGATTACTAGTGACTCTGACAGTAATCTCTGGAGGATTAAACATCATTCAAAAAGTCTGTGAGGAAGATGGAACAGACTGTTAGTACCACTGATATATGGAGAAAGAGGGAAAAACAAGAAGAGACTACAGTTATTGGAGCACAGAACTAAAGAAAATTATTTAATCTTACTGAATTACTGGCCAGGTGTGGTGGCTCACGCTTGTAATCCAAGTGCTTTGGAAGGCAGAGGCAGATGGATCACTTGAGGCCAGGAGTTCGAGACCAGCCTAGCCAACGTGAGCAAAACCCCGCCTCTAATAACAATACAAAAATTGGCTGAGTGTGGTGGCACATGCCTATAATTATAGCTATTTGGGGGGCTGAGGCATGAGAATTGCTTGAACCTGGGAGGTGGAGGTTGAGTGAGCCGAGATTGCACTACTGCACTCCAGACTGGGCAACAGAGCGAGCGAGACTCTGTCTCAAAAACAAACAAAATAAAAAACAACTTACTGAATTACCCATGTTTGTATTTGCAATTTTCTTTCTAGCTAAAGTTTAAAACATTCCTCTTTCACCAAATTAAATTTACTTCCTATTTTTAAATACGAATTTCAATATAAATTACCAAACCCCTCCCTGCAGATCCTTAGAAGAATCAGGTCTAATCTTGTATCAGGGAGACATCTGGCAGGACCACCCAAGGGCTCCCTAAACTCTGCCATTCACAGGAGTTCTATGCACCCACCACATTCTGCAGTGTGCTCAAAAAAAAATAATAATAATAACAGCTGGGCGTGGTGGCTTACGCCTGTAATCCCAGCACTTTGGGAGGCTGAGGTAGGCAAATCACTTGAGGCCAGGAGTTCGAGACCAGACTGGGCAAACTGGCAAAACCCCATCTGTACTAAAAATACAAAAATCAGCCAGGTGTGGTGGCACACACCTGTAATCCCAGCTACTTGAAAGGCTGAGGCATGAGAACTTCTTGAACCCAGGAGGCAGAGGTTGCAGTAATCTGAGATTGCACCATCATATTCCAGCCTGGGCAAGAGAGCAAGGCTCTGTCTCAAAAAAGAAAAACAAACAATGAATGAAAAAAAGAAACAGGGCTGGGCGTGGTGGCTCATGTCTATAATCCTAGCACTTTGGGAGGCTGAGGTGGGCAGATCACTTAAGGTCAGGAGTTCAAAACTAGTCTACCAACATGGTAAACCCCATCTCTACTAAAATACAAAAAAAATTAGCTGGACGTGGTGGCAGTCACCTGTGATCCCAGCTACTCGGGAGGCTGAGGCAGAAGAATTGCTTGAACCCAGGAGGCAGAGGTTGCAGTGAGCCGAGATCACACCACCCCACTCCAGCCTGGGCGACAGAGCAAGACTCCGTCTAAAAAAAAACAGAAAAAAAAATGTCCTTAATGTCAGAATATTGTGTATACTCAATTATTCAATCCATCATCGACTTTTCACTTGAATCAACAGAAAAATTAATTCATGTTGGAGGTGAGTACAAACAGAAGTCTCTATCACAAGAGTCTATGAGCACTCCAAGTAGTTATTTTAAAATCATAGAAGCATTTACAGTACAATATGGTATCTATTTAAAAGACATACTCACTCTCTGTTCATCATCAGATCCTTGTGAAGACATACAAGTTGTTTTCGTTGCCATGTGAGACTGAAAGAGCTAAAAAAGGAATACAAAGGCTTAAAAGGAAACAGAAACATTACTCCCCAAAACCCAGTATCTAAATAATATATTTACATGAATAAGGTGTTATAATACTGTTGTTATCACCAAGTTTTGAAGTGTAGTCTACATTATTGAATCATGTTTGAAATTGTGGCTTTCTTGCTGGATAGGTATCTACATAAGTAAATTACATATAATATTCAACACATATGGTAATATACTTACACACAAAAAAATTGTAAGAAATTAGTAAACTTCCATTTACAAGTAGGGAGACAAATAACTTTTTTTTTTTTTTTGAGATGGTGTCTTGCTGTGTCACCCAGGCTGGAGTGCAGTGGTATGATCTGGGATCACTGCAACCTCCATCTCCTGGGTGTAAGTGATTCTCCTGCCTCAGCCTCCTGAGTAGCTGGATTACATGCATGCGCCACCATGCCTGGCTAATTTTTGTATTTTTAGTAGAGACGGGGTTTCACCATGTTGGTCAGGCTGGTCCCGAACTTCTGACTTCATGATCTGCCCGCCTCGGCCTCCCGAGCACTCCTTGCTCGGATTACAGGCGTGAGCCACCACACCCTGCCTTTTCATTTTTAAAGATACTCTAAGAGCCATGAAGTCCCTCAAAATTAGGTATGTTCCACTGTAGCATGTCAGAGGAAACATAAATGTCAAGAATGCTACAATTGCAGTGTGGTGGGGAAAGCAGGGATTTTATAATTTTAACAACTACCTTTGTCACTAACATAATCATTTATAGAACTCATATTACACATCCATATCACTATGCTAGCTCGTTAAGTTCATTTTCTTATTTAATCCTTACAATACATCTGAGCTACACATAGTATTATTCCCACAGCCTAGATGAAAAAATTCAATTCTGAAAGGTTGAGTAATTTACCCGAAATCATATAGGCCAGTAGGGTGTAGACATAGGTCTGATTTGACTGCCAAACTGGTGTTCCTTCTGCTGCCCCAAGTTGTAAACCAAATGGATATTCACTGTTCCCAACAGTAGAGAATGAGGGAAGAGAGGTACAAGAAAAACTGTACTAATTCCAAGGTACTGCTATCCTACTTCTGAATACAGCACAAGATACTGAGGAAACATCACATTATTTAAAAAGTAGTATTAATATTGGTAAAAAAATTGCAAATGGTACCAATGAGAATACAGTGCACATTACTCCCTTCCCACTCTTGATTCTCTAGTAGCTCAGCGCTCTTCCCGAGAGGCACCAGACCCTTACGCATCCTTCCAGAGAGAAGCTGTGCATGTCTAAGCAGGCCTCCTTTGTTTATATAAATGGTAACTGTCTACTGCTCTGTGCTGTGGTTTTTTTTTGCTGAATCTTTCTGAGACTGTTTCGCAGTACTATTTAGATCTACCTCATTCTTTCTACAGCATAGTGTTCTCCTCTGTGTACTACAGTGTGGTATATATACAGACGCTCTTCATTGAGACTGTCCTCTCCTCTGTACTTACAATGAACCATGCTGCAACAAATGGCACTGCAATGAAAGACAGAACTTGGGTGCTCCCACCACCTCACCCTGATCCTCTGCGTGCGCACACACGGTGAATGAACCCTACACAGACAAAATAGTGCACATCGTGACTGACAACAATCTTTTGCTGGTACATTTTGATAAAATAGGCTGACCTTGTAACTGAACACTCCGAATAACAGTGTTTTTTTTGTTTTGTTTTGTTTTGAGACAGAGTCTCGCTCTGTCACCCAGGCTGGAGTGCAGTGGCACAATCTCAGCCACTGCAACCTCTGCCTCCCGGGTTCAAGCAATCCTCCTGCCTCAGACTCCCAAGCAGCTGGAATTACCAGCAAGCGCCACCACATGTGGCTTATGTTTGTATTTTTAGTAGAGATGGGGTTTTCACCACGTTGGCCAGGGTGGTCTCAAACTCCTGACCCAAGTGATCCTACCGCCTTGGCCTCCCAAAGTGTTGGGATTATAGGCCTGAGCCCCCGCGCCCAGCCAACAGTGTTTTCAAATACTAAGTTTTTCTAAACAAAATGATGTTTGTCAGTTGGAAGATGCTCCTATAGAAAAGCATGCAAAAGCTCAGTGAGGGACACAATGGTCCTGGTTGTGTTTTCACAATCTGAAAAGTGAAAAGTATGTAATGATACAAAGCACATCAGAGACTAGCCTGATTTTAATACCTGGCCTCAGGCTTTAGCTTTTAACTACACATATACTTCACTTACACCCTGCCATTCTGAAAGGCCCCCCAATCCCAGTCACCATGTGGTACCTAAGCAGTATCACATCCCTCTAGTCTGTAGAATACAAGCAAAGTGAGAGCCCCTGGAAACAAACAGTGGTGGTTACAGAAATTTGGAGAAATTAGAGATCACTGAAGGCAGGAGTCAAAGAAGAAAATGACTTTGAAGTGAGTCAGGAAAGAGGTACAGATCTAGATGAGACATTTAAGGTAGAAAAAAAAAATCCCTAAATACCACAAGGCAGAATTTCGTACTAGAAGAAAACACAGTAAGTGCAAGAATTTGATGGAAAAAAGGAACAGATTAGGGACAATACCTGAGTGGCAGACTGAGTAAACCAGAAGTGTCCATTTACAGTCTGACTTTCTGCTAAAGGCTAAGAAGTGCCACAGATAATATTTGGCTAGGGGCCCTGTTCAGAGCCCTGCACTAGACACAGTGAGGAGTAGGGTAGAACATTCCATGCTTGTCGTTAATTCCGGACCTCACATACTACCTGCTTGCCTCTCAGCATCTGTCTCTACTATAAGTGATGTACTACACATATAATTCACTGAGGTTGTATTATTTTGAGTTGTCAAGTATAGAACTTTAAGGAAAAGTTTAATTTTTATTTTATTTTAGAGACAAGATCTCCCTCTATTGCTTAAGCTGGAGTGCAGTGGTGCGATCACAGCTCGCTGCAGCCTCAACCTCCTGGGCTAAGGGGATCCTTCCACGTCAGTCTCCCAAATAGCTGCGACTACAGGCACGCACCACCACACGCGGCTGAAAATCAAACTTTAAAAATTACTGATAAAAAAGTGGTTTTTAGTTTTTAATATAGTGATGCTATATGATCAGCATATGATGAGTTTTGGTAAAATGCTGCTTAGTGTTGATAAGTAAAATTTGCTTAGAAAAAAATTAGAGGCTTTAGGCTGGGCGCTGTGGCTCACGCCCGTAATCTCAGCACTTTGGGAGGCCGAGGCAGATGGATCATGAGATCAGGAGATTGAGACCACCCTGGCTAACATGTGAAACCCCATCTCTACTAAAAATACAAAAAATTAGCCAGGTGTGCTGGTGGGCGCCTATAGTCCCAGCTACTTAGGAGGCTGACGCAGGAGAATGGTGTGAACCCAGGATGCGGAGCTTGCAGTGAGCTGAGATCACGCCATTGCACTCCAGCCTGGCAGATAGCGAGACTCCGTCTCAAAACAAAAAAGAGAAAAAAGAAAAAAGAAAAAAATTAGAGGCTTTATACTCATTTACCATTAAATTTAAATAAAATACAGGTTAAATTTCTGTCATTTATGTAAGTTCATATCAAATATCTGCTTTTGTTTATTGATTTACTGTGTTTCTGAACATCTGCCAAAAAGCCTACATAAAATCTCAGTGGATGAATGTTTTGATCAGGAAGTTTAAATGAGTCACATTAAAGTAATATGAATAATTATTTCAAATATTTTCCACTGGTACTACTTGGTCAGTTAAATTTCCAAAACAAGTTTAATACTGGAAAAGGTTTGAATTTTTTTTTAATTTATTAACTTAGTTATTTTTGAAACAAGTTCTGGCTCTGTCACCCAAGCTGGAGTGCAGAGGCACGATCTTGGCTCACTGCCGAGATCCTCCACCTCCCAGGCTCAAGCTATCCTCCTGCCTCAGCCTCCTGAGTAGATGGGACCACCAGCACATCCCAGTATGCCTGGCTAAATTTTTTGTAGAGACGAGGACTCACTCTGTTGCCCAGGCTGGTCTCGAACTCCTGAGCTCAAGCAACTTGTCTGCCTCAGCCTCCCAAAGTGCTAGGATTATAGGCATGAGCCACCGTGCCCGGCTGGAAAAGGTTTTTAATAAATTAGCAGGAAAAATAACAATAGGACAAGTGTTGGCTGAATCCCTCTAATGGCAAACAGAGCTCTGTGTAGGGCTAAGAAACACTAAATTAGAAAAAAATTAAAAATCTGCCAAGAAGAATTCTGGCCTGCTCTACCGTTGACCACTACTTAGTATGTGTAAACCACTCAGCTAGGCTCTGCAGTCTCAACAATACTAAGATATGGCCCTTGACCTTGTGACTGTGTCTCAAGAGAAACATGAATGCACAACAGGCAACCACAATCTC